TGCTGTGCTGAGTGGTTATATTACTACCTGAAAAAAAAAGCAAACAGAAACTGAATGTTTTGAGCAAAGACCCTTCGCTCGAGATGTTGAGTTTCTGCTTGTTTTTTTTTTGAGGTAGTAATATAACCACTCAACACAGCAATTGTAATTGTATTCCTTTGCAATTGCTCTCACATAGTTCTAAGGTACCTGTAGCTCTAGTTTATTTAATTGTCTTATTATATTGTAATGATATATTTTTTATTAAATTCCATGTATATAATATATACATGTTCAGTGATGTAAGACTCGCAAATTTTCTTCATTTTAATGCAGTGTATAGGTTGTGACATTAAATTGGTCGAAATGACAAAAAAAAATTGGTCGAAATGACCAAACAAAATTGGTCACCTGGATGCATCTGAGAGAACCAATTAAAAATGGTCGTTTTAACCAATAAAATTAACCATTTTATTAATTGGTCAAAACAACCAAAAATATTTGGTTATATTAACCAATTATTATTGGTTGAAATGACCAATTAATTAATGGTTAATTTTATTGGTTAAAACGACCATTTTTAATTGGTTCTCTCAGATGCATCCAGGTGACCAATTTTTTTTGGTCATTTCGACCAATCAGTTTTTACAGTGTAACATGCACAGTTTGTCTGCCATGCTGTGTGGAGGTGGCTGCGTTTTGCCGAGTTGTCGGAGTTTGCGGAGTATGATGATTTGGTAATGGAATAAAAACTTATTTACTTGTGTGTGTGTGTATTTCTTCCTTTTAAGCCCCCATCCAGGGTCACAAGGCCTGGACATTTCCTTTGAAATGAGCTGGTGAGTGGAAGGAATACATTCGTATGTTTCATGCTTGTTTAATTTCAGTATATGTCTAGAAAAGGGTATGTAGATTAATTTGACCTGGTGTGCTAACCTTTTTAATTCTATTTTCCCAGGTGTAATAATAAACCTTTAATATATATATATATGTATATATATATTTATTTATTTTATTTCAAAAATAAAAAAAAATGTTCCAAAAATCCTTGTACAATTTTTGCCGAGTAAGGCTTTTTCTGCAAAAGTGGGTAACAAACATTTCGTTTGGCCACTTTCCTGTTGAATGGTCTTGGCTTTTGTTTTGCTTTAGGTTGCATAAATTAGATCTTATTTGCCGGGTTTTGAGTGTATATAAGAGCAGATAATCGCTCACACATTCAAATCCCTTCATATTATTACACATGACAGAGCGATTTCAAACTCTTTCTCCGTGAAAACAATACGGCCAAGCATTATAAGTCAGTAGTTTTAAATATGCTGGCATAGATCCACTATTATGAAAACTGAATGCACTTGTATCAGACTAAGCGGACCAGCAGGAGACTTCCAATGCCCATCCAGATTTTTTAGTCGAACACGAGTTGTCTTCTGCGATTTTTCCTGCTGAAACCAAAGGTTGCTTGAAGCTAACGAGTGCGTTAAATCATTCTATGATAGGTGTAGGAGAATGGATTTGCTGGAAAATATTTCAATGTAAATGTGTGATGCGTGAGAAGGATTTATTCTCTCAGCTGCGTTGTTGTCATTCGCTTCGGGTTACAAAAGCCGGTTCGCGTCAGCTACGTTTTGCGATTTTTCCTGACAAAACGACAAACGTTTTCAAGATCTAGTTTACTTTATACCATTCAGTATAATGTAGTAATGAATGAATTTTAGAGATTAGGGAGTTACAACGTGTATTCTGCTTTACACAGCGAAATATAATATTGCCAATCACTTGCGACAATATGGCGCAGCATGAATTCACGTCTTGATCGTCTGTCTTTTGCGATTTTTCCTGCTCGCACACAATGGTGTATCGCAATGAAAACCGCGTCAAATGAAGCGCACCATAATGTAGATGAATGAAAATCTTAACGGTATGGGCTGCATTAAAACTGTTGCAGTGGTTTAGCGATTTGTGCAGATTTTCACTGTTTTAGTGCGAATCTGAAAATGAATGTGAAACTACGGGAAATTTCAATATGGAACAATAAAGTCCGGGGGGTCAGTCATTCTATCATTCTGCACATAGAGCAATCTCAAATACTTTTTCCACGAAAACAATATGACCAAGCATTATAAAATTTTAAATATGCTGGCATACATCTTCTATTAAGAAAAAAATGCACTTATATCAGACTAAGCAGACTTGCAGAAGAATTCCAATACCCACCCGGATTTTTGAGTCCAGCACGAGTTCCAACGAGTTGTCTTTTACGATTTTTCCTGCTGAAACCAGAAATTGTTTGAAGCTAACGAGTGCGTTATATCATTCTATGATAGTTGTAGTAGAATGGTTTTGCTGGAAAATATTTCAATGTAAACGTGTGATGCGTGAGAAGGATTTATTCGCTCAGCTGCGTTGTTGTCATTCGCTTCGGGTTACAACAGCCGGTTCGCGTCAGCAACGTTTTGCGATTTTTCCTGACAAAACGACAAACGGTTTTGAGATCTAGTTTACTTTATGCCATTCACTATAATGTTGTAATGAATGAATTTTAGAGATTAGGGAGCTACAACGGGTATTTTGCTTTACACAGCGAAATATAATATTGCCGATCACTTGTGACAATATGGCGCAGCGTGAATTCACGTCTTGATCGTCTGTCTTTTGCGATTTTTCCTGCACGCACACAATGGTGTATCGCAATGACAACCGCGTCAAATGAAGCGCACAATAATGTAGATGAATGAAAATCTTTACGGTATGGGCTGCATTAAAACTGTTGCAGTGGTTTAGCGATTTGTGCAGATTATCACTGTTTTAGTGCGAATCTGAAAATGAATGTGAAACTACGGGAAATTTCAATATGGAACAATAAAATCCGGGGGGTCAGTCATTCTATCATTCTACATATAAAACGATTTCAAGTACTTTTTCCGCGAAAAAAATACGGCTAAACATTACAATTTTTTATATATGCTGGCATGGATCCACTATTAAGTAAAAAATGCATTATGTCAGACTGAGCGGACTTGCAGGAGAGTTCCAATGGCCACCCGGATTTTTGAGTGCAGCACGAGTTCCAACGAGTTGTCTTTTGCGATTTTTCCTGCTGAAACTAGAAGTTGTTTGAAGCTAACGAGTGCGTTATATCATTCTATGATAGTTATAGTAGAATGGTTTTGCTGGAAAATATTTCAGTGTAAACGTGTAATGCGTGAGAAGGATTTATTCGCTCAGCTGCGTTGTTGTCATTCGCTTCGCGTTACAAAAGCCGGTTCGCGTCAGCTACGTTTTGCGATTTTTCCTGCTGAAACTAGAAGTTGTTTGAAGCTAACGAGTGCGTTATATCATTCCATGATAGTTGTAGTAGAATGGTTTTGCTGGAAAATATTTCAATGTAAACGTGTAATGCGTGAGAAGGATTTATTCGCTCAGCTGCGTTGTTGTCATTTCGCTTCGGGTTACAACAGCCGGTTCGCGTCAGCAACGTTTTGCGATTTTTCCTGCTGAAACTAGAAGTTGTTTGAAGCTAACGAGTTCGTTATATCATTCTATGATAGTTGTAGTAGAATGGTTTTGCTGGAAAATATTTCAATGTAAACGTGTAATGCGTGAGAAGGATTTATTCGCTCAGCTGCGTTGTTGTCATTCGCTTCGGGTTACAAAAGCCGGTTCGCGTCAGCTACGTTTTGCGATTTTTCCTGCTGAAACTAGAAGTTGTTTGAAGCTAACGAGTTCGTTATATCATTCTATGATAGTTGTAGTAGAATGGTTTTGCTGGAAAATATTTCAATGTAAACGTGTAATGCGTGAGAAGGATTTATTCGCTCAGCTGCGTTGTTGTCATTCGCTTCGGGTTACAAAAGCCGGTTCGCGTCAGCTACGTTTTGCGATTTTTCCTGACAAAACGACAAACGTTTTCAAGATCTAGTTTACTTTATACCATTCAGTATAATGTAGTAGTGAATGAATTTCAGAGATTAGGGAGCTACAACGGGTATTTTGCTTTAGACAGAGAAATATAATATTGCCGATCACTTGCGGCAATATGGCGCAGCATGAATTCACGTCTTGATCGTCTATCTTTTGCGATTTTTCCTGACTTTACATTTTGCGCTAAAGCCTTCAAAATACATTTGTTCAATGTGTAATGTTCTGAAGAAGAATGAAATTCGTTAACAAGTTTATTGCGTAGAAAGAAACTGAGTAATTCGACATTTTATGCGCCAGACACCTGATCGATTTTCATATTTGAATCTGAATGTGAATCTGAAACTGCGAATCTGAAACTGTAGAGCCGACCGTTATTTTTAGCTAACATAATGGGGTGTAGTCTCTTGTAGTTTTTGTGCTAAATGATGTCACAAAGTTCATTGACCTTCGAGATAATTTTTCAAAATTTTTTTCCTAGATGGCGGCGAAACTGGCCGAAAGCCCGAGACACAAAGTTTGCATGCATTTTACTCGTAGACTAAAATGTTCGAGAAGGAAATGATAATATTTTCGTAGTTTGGTCGTCAAATAGGGTTCAAATAGCCAATAAAAATTTTCGTTGCCATTGTCCTTTAACTTTAATCACTGGCGCCTGGTGGCCATATGTTTTCGAATCATTAATTGTCGACGGAATTTTAGAAAAAATATTACGATCAGGAGTAGAATTTACTTAACTTTTTCAAATTTTAAATGGAGAGCAGTTTAATTAACTAATACAAACCACATGCAATAAGTATCATTCCATCTGGTAAATTCTTTTGTAGGTCAGTTGAGGTCAAGTGCCTCTCGGGCCAGTTCCCGCCATATATTCCCATCATGTTAGTATTGAAAGCACGGCATTGAAGAGAAAGCACTAATGTTAAAATGATCACTATATGCACACTTCACGCATTTATTTTCTTGTCAAAAACACAATATTTCGATCGTCAAAATACAAAGAAACTACATATTTATATGCGTGACAACAATGAATTGATATTTTTAATTTAAAAAGATTAGCTCGTCTCGTATTACAAACCTGATTCATTACGCAGGCTGTTCTGTCTGTTCTGGTTGAGTATCTATTAAAAATGGCAGAACAGGAAAGAACATTTCATCCTGTGGATTATGTCTTGTTTGGTTTAATGTTGTTAATTTCTGCAGGTATTGGTATATACCATGGCTGTACTGGCGGAAGACAACGTACGACCAGTGAATATTTACTTGGTAATCGTAGTATGAAGACATTTCCCATCGCTATATCGCTACTAGCCACATCTCTTTCTGCTATAACTTTACTCGGCGTTCCAAGCGAGATTTTTACATATGGAGCACAATATATGATGTTGCTCTTTTCTTATGTTATCCTCACAGCAACCGTTGCTATTGTATTTGTTCCAATTTTCCATGGATTGCATTTAACCAGTGCTCACGAGGTAACACATATATGATTTTATACATGTATATCGTGGGTAAAGTTGTGGGTCATAAATTACGAAAATATTTATTTTAGTTGCTGCGGAGCGAGCGAGCCTGAAGCGAGCGAGGTTTGAACTAAATTTTATTTAGCGCATGGAATTGTGGTCGTGCGCGCTTTCTATGCGCAGAACACAAGTTTTAAACTCGCTCAAATCTTCGAATTTTTATCGAATTTCTACAGCTTTTTCAAGTCTAATGTTACGCCGCTTACATTTGTTTTGGACTTTGGCCACTGTCAGTTCTATATTTTTATAAAGTTTTGGTTTCTTAGTGTGATATTTATGTTTTTTCTTACAGAAAAGTTAAATGTTTCCATTTGTAGCTTTAGAATCGTTATAGTCCATATAACGATTATCCCGAATGACTTATGTAGACTATATTTCCATACAGTATGTCGTATGATTGCTTATCATTTTATATCAGCTATATATTTTTAAAGTTTGTTCGTTCACTGCAAACCAGGTATATCAACAATGTTTCGCTCGCTACTCTGGTTTAAATAAATGATTACAAAGCCCAGTCGAATTGTAATCAAGACCCAACGTTTCGACACTCCAGTCTAGTGCCTTCATCAGGAGTGATCTAAAGTTGCAATCGTGGCTTCTTTTAAAATACCCAAGGGATGACGTCACCTGCCAATGAGATGCATGTATTCCTTTGGCAAATAGGCACCGTCATCCCTATTCAAAGCATGATTACTCATATTTATATGCCACGCTTCCATGGTAATTATTTTAGAGTTTTCCCACGCAATCGTGTGTTCGGTGTAACATACATGTTCTGCTAAAGCTGATTTTCCCTTGTCTTGATGTTCTTTTAGCCGTGTGCCAAACTGGCGTTTAGACTGACCCAAATACTCTTTCTCGCAGTCACCGCATGGTCACCCCTGATGAAGACACTAGACTGGAGTGTCGAAACGTTGGGGTCTTGATTACAATTCAACTGGGCTTTGTAATCATCAGTATTTAAACCAGAGTAGCGAGCGAAACATGAAGTATATATTGTTTCTAGCTTATAATTGTACTAAGTATAGAACAAATGCGGACCAACTGCTTCTAATTCTCTTTGCTAAACATTTGTTACCGATGTTATTCATTGAACGCGTATGCTTGATTATATACATTTGTATTTTGTAGCTAGCCATAGGCTTATAATTAGTCATGATTATAAGAACTTGCATTCTACTTTAAAAGTTGTACAATGTGGTATAATCTGCGTAATATAAATGGATGTTCAGACTTCAGCGCCTCTGGGTGACTCACCCACAATGGTCATGATGTCATCGGACCCGCGGAAAATATTTTATCGCCAAAATTACACATGCATCCGCGCAGGCAAACCAGCCTCGGTATATAAGTCATGTATGTTATTGCAACAGGAAATCTTGCTTATTTTAGTCTAATAAAATCAATTTTTTCTCGGATAATACGCGCAATATCCTGCGCATTTTAGAGATAATCTAATTGTCGCCGGTCGCGGGTTTTATTCGCGGGTCGCGGGTTATTAACAAAAGTCGCGGGTTTTTTCGCGGGTCAGTCTTTTCTAATTTCCGTGTCAGCATTCTTTGCCGGGGAAGGGGGTTTGCACGAAACATCGGCTGTTCTCATCAAAATAAGACCGCATTAAACTTTATTTTTTGTGCATTGAATGGCTATACAAAACCGATTTTAAAAAATATATAACAAGACGCTCTATAGAGCTTAACTCGCTGAAGCTACACAGGATGTCCCCAAAACGACGCAAAACATTGCCAGTGAAATACGGTATTGTTAGAATTTGAATGCCTCAGCACTCCCCTGAACCCACACGTGCATCAAAGCTTGACGTAAGTAAATTTTATGCATAAAGAAACCGTTTAAGAAGCTGTTTTAAATTCCCAAGAGCAGAAAATTGTGCGCTTTTACAAAGATATTTTAATTTCTTAATTTCTTAAGGGAGCACTCATTATTAATGCTGGGGGTCGGAAGATATTTGGTGGGGGGGGGGGCACCAAAAATTTATTAACCACTTAGGGGGGGCTACCAAAAATATCAAGAAAGGTAGGGGGCACCAAAAATAATGTACAATAATCATAAAACATCAGCAATTATAGTTCACTGTAATATAAATGTCAATGCTATATAAGTATAGGTAATCACACAGGAAGGAGTGCAATTAATGATTAACACTACGAGTGATATTTGAAAAATGTGCCAAAAATGCACAAGCCGTTAATAATTAATTGCACGACTTGCCCGTGAGATTATTTATTTATTTTATGCATGGCATGATGACAAAAAAGTTTTCTTTGGAATTCAACTTCATTTTGTTAAGAGTTTTTAATTCTTTTGTAAGCAATTTGGCATAAACAAACTTGGGAAATGATCATAAACTCATAAAGGCACATAACTTAAACTAGGACAAATGATTCAAACTCAAATAACATATGTTCAGAATATTAAGAAAATCTTTATAAATTGTATTACAGACTTAGATAGTCACGTTTTGCTGGATCTCGCCAAGATTAGTTCTTAAAACTGTTTCCAGGTATTCTCCACAGGCTCTTTTTGCCATACTATGTTTTTTAAACTCATTCTTGTGCCAAAATTTAGTTCAATTCGTCCATGTGGTTTTTAATTTATACAAGATAAAGGTAAATTGTCCCGCCACATTGGACGGGTTGTTTTGATTTCCCGCTCCCCCCAGGCATCGAAAATCATTCATTGCACTACAGGTGGCCCAATCTTGCCAGGGTAAAGTACCATCGAGACTGATCGAGTGCAAAGTCTCAGAAAATATTAGTCCAACAAAAGAGGAATAAATGGAGAATACACACTATCGAATAGACAAGTCAATTTCATTTTAAAATTTATATTTTATTACATATTTTTTACTATAATACACATTGCTATAACATACAAGTCTATACTGTCGCTTACGAGATTGGGCCGCCTGTGATCTATAGTATATGTTTCGAATGTAAGTTCAATCACAGGAGGAAGATATATGGGGGG